TTTCCAGCTTTATCCTGCCAAGAAGTTACTGATGATGAGGTCTTGGATGCGAGCTGCTTGTTGGATGTCTTAAGAATGTACAGATGGCAGATCTCCTCATTTGAAGAACAGGTGAACACAACATTCGAAACAGGTTTACTTGGAGAATCCTTCCCTCTGATGAGCTGGGGCCTGAGCTCACCATGCTGGCTAGGCAACAGCTCCATCGGCCGGGGAGGGTACAGCTCTGTGCTAGGGCTGGTTCTTAGCGTGCACGACGTCCTTAATCCCCAGTACCTCCATTAGAATAAAAAAATAAACCTAATTAACTACCCCCCCCCAAAAAGAAATGTGCTTAAAAGGTTTAATTAAAGACAATGGGGGAAAATAGGAAATAAAAATCATTTAAGAGAGAAAGAAAACAGCTGTAATGCTGTGGCCAGTAGAGTCAACATCAGTTATTGCAGTTGCCTGGCCTGCGTGGACATGTCTGTGCCTGCCGTTTCAGACAGCCCTGGTGTGCTGGGACCAGGCCATGAACTTCATTCCTCCTCTCCTGATGGAAGGCTCGCAGGATAGGGTGTAAATATACGGTTGCCAAAGGGCCAGAAGCTTTTTAGTTGTGGAGTGACTTTGCATTTCAGCGGTTCATGGGGACATCTGGGTCCTTTGAGAGAGGCAGGTGGCTTCACCTTAGAGGCTCAGAGGTTCATGTGAGATCCTTTTTTAGACCATACCTTCTTTAAGTGGCCCCAAACCTTGATCAGCTGCCTCATGCAGCCCCACGGCCTTCCTCCAGCTACTCTCCCCGCCCCCTTTTCCACAACTGCGGCCTCATTGTCTTTCTTGACTCTGGCCACCCTTCTCCCCTTCCCCAGAGGATGAGGCTGAGGCTGAGAGAATGAAGTTCTAGGGACCAAAAATTTAGCTCCCGGTGATGTTCACTTCTGGGGGTACATCCTCCCCCCACCATTTCCAGGTTGGTAAGGGCTGCTTCTGCCTCCACCATCCAGCCCCTGGACCAGAGCCTTTGGGCTCCCAAAACTGCGGGGCTGAAGCGAGAGGCATTTGAAAACGCTGCAAAGCGAGGTGGGAAGGCTTCCTCGCTCTCCTTATCTTTAAAGATGCTCTCTGTGTCCACTTTGATCTGAAGCCGTGTTTTACACGTGTTGCTTTTTGACCCTGATGCCGCCAGTATGTCTACTTCCTCACAGTGCTTCTGCATTAATCCACTATATGTTGAAATGTTTTTCCATTTAGAAGTTACTTTTTTAATCCTCCTCTGGCAACTGGAATTATTTAGCTACAGTTTGTGTTTCTCTAAACTGAGAGAGTGACTGAGATTTAGTCCCTGAGGACGTCAGATACCTTTTCAAAGTCCTGCTCTTCTGTCAAGGACACACTTAAGTCCTACTTTCTGCTGGGGACTGTTTCCAGCGTCTTCGGCCCATTGCTATCACTGAGCCACGTAGCGCTGGAGTGTGCGTGGGAAAGAGAAAGCACGTGTGCCTGTGGTTCTTTTCCTCTTTGGAGTCATCCAGAGCGTCTGGACAAGCACGGGGCCTTGTCCACTTCTTCACTATTCACGATCTAGTCAATCAGCAGCACACGTCCACTCTCGGTGTCTAAAGCCAGAGCTGGGGATGCTCTGGGCCAAGTATGTGACTTATCTGATTGAATCCTCCCAACAGCCCTGCATGGAGTTACTGTTAGTCTCCCCCATTTCACGGGTGAGAACACTGGTTCAGAGGCGCGAGGTGACTGGCCCACAGTCGCACGGCTATTTGAGTGGCAGAGCCAGTCTGGCAGTAGGGTGCGTGCTCTTTAGCTCCGCCCTCTTCTGCGATCCTGATCCTTTTCTCAAGGTCAGGTACTTACAGGGCTGATGGTGACTGAAGAGGTTTTGGATCCGTCTCCATCCTGTCTTGGGATTTTTCTCCCTGGAGAACGACTGCCCAGGCTTCAAGGGCCAGCCCGGATGCCTTGGCTGTCAGGAAGAGCTGGTCCTCCCTCAGGCTCCCCGTCCGGGGCTCGTGGATGACAGCTGGGCCGCCTCGTCTGCCGCTGGATTGCGAGGCCCCCGAGGGCAGAGCCTTGCCTTACTTATCTTTGAGTCTCCTTCACTCTTGCTAACTGCCAGTCATAGTCTCGGAGGGGATTCATTTGTATGTGCAGAAAATGTTTGTTGAATGCCTGCCCCGGGAAGGGCCAATGGAGGGTGTTCGGCCATAGCAGCCAACATGACTTGCAGGGTTCCTGTGCCCCCGGAGCGCCTGTCCCGTGAGGGTCGGGGGGCTCCAGCCAGCAGGTGATTTCAAGATGTGCTGAGGAGAAAATAAGCGTGGTGAGGTGACGAGGTGTCAGGAGGACTGAGGGTGGGGGATGAGAGAGCGCGATGCGGGGGTTCCTCTAGATGGGGACGGCTTCTCTGGAGACCTGAGGTTTCAGCTGAGACCTGAAGCCCGAAAGGAGGGAGGTCTGGGGGCGGAGGGTTCCGGACAGAGGAGCGAGCCAGGGTGAAAGCTTTGAGCAGCTGCAGGGACGCAGCGTTTGGAGAATGGCAGAGAGGCCCACAGGGCTCAGGCCCAGGCGGGGAGAGCAGAGGAGGAGAGGAGGTTGCGGGGGCAGATTGTGCGGGGCCTGGGAGGCCGAGGGCAGGAGCTGGGCTTCTGCTCTGTGTGCGGTGGGGAGCCCTGAGGAGCTCTGAACAGGGGGCTGCTTTGATCTGACTTACGTGTAGACAGTGGTGGTTGCTGTGTACAGGGGGCACTGCAGGGGAGCAGGACAGAAACAGAGAGGACCGCAGGGAGGCTGCTACAGGCATCCAGGCCCGGGCCGGCTGGCTGCGACTGCCGCGGGGGAGATGGAGAGACCTCAGAACTGGGGGTGAATTGGAGGCAGAGCCTGCAGGACCATTGCTGACAGGGAGGGCTGGTGAGGGAGGTTACCGCCTCAGGAGGACCTTGAAGGATGAGGAGGAGGCGATTAAAAAAAAGAAAAGTCATCAGGGGGAGAGGGGGTCAAGGCCACCCCAGTAAAGCTAGAACAGGCCCTGAGATGGCTCAGATCTGGCATGAAGGCTGCCCCCCAGCCCCCCAGCTTTCTTTCCTTCTCTCTCCCCCTGGGCCTCTCAGTTGAGGGTCTTTCCTTTCAAAAATGTCTAGGACGTAACTGTGTCCATTTAATGCACTGGGGCCCCGAGCAGGTGAAGGCAAATCCTGTCCACATTAACCCTAGGGGTCTGCCTGGTCGTCCACATGGGGGTGGGGGGAGTTCTGATGCTGCCCCAGGCTCCTCGGGCCTGTCTGAAGCCTGCTCTGCCCTTTGACAGGACGCTCACGAACTGTTCCACGTCATCACCTCGTCACTGGAGGATGAACGGGACCACCAGCCCCGGGTCACACATTTATTTGACGTGCATTCCCTGGAGGTAAACCGTTAACATCTTCGATGCATGTAAGGTGGTGTATGCATGTTTAATAGGTAACAGGAATGCTGGTGTAATTTTTGTACAACTTTATAAACTCAAAAGTAAGATTCAATAAAAACCAGTAATGGGTGCCTGAAACGTCCCCCTTGGCAGTTGGTGACTTTGGTGGAGGGGGTGGGAGTCAAGTCCCTTAAAAATGATTCGTTGCTGCAATCTGTCTTGGCCTTGGGAGGAAAAAATGTATTTTTTCCCCTGATGAATACAAAGGAATGAGGAACCATAGGAATGCCAAGGGAACCTCATTTTCCGGGCACTTTGTAAGTGTTTGGGAGTTGATAAAAGTTAACTAGTAAAGGGGGAAAATATTCCAGAGAGGAAATGTGTTTCGATTAGATCTGGTGATGAAATAGGTACATTAATGAACCAGAGAGCGTAATTAAGGCGACTTTTAGGAAGCGTGGTTTAAAGTTGATTTCTGAATGGTGCAGTCTGCACAGAAACGGGTGAGAAACTGGTTAGGAGTGGGGTGAGGGGGATCAGGGGGACGGCAGTCGGGGTTTCAGTCTGTTTCTTTTCCTTTCCCTACAGCAGCAACCTGAAATTACTCCCAGACAGATAACCTGCCGCACCAGAGGTAGTCACTTTCCGTTGAACTCTAACCCGTGAGATGTGTACTGTTCAGATATGACAGTCATCTGCTTTATGTTTTTAAAAAATTACGTTTCTCCTGGTGCCATCTATTCTGACTTGAAGTGTGTGGACTTGAAAGGAGCTTGTGTTTTGGAAACAGCTTTAAACTATTCCCCTGGTGAACATCTTGAATTGTTCGATCAACACCCCGGCCCCTGCTCAGCTTCCTCTGAAACGGACTTACTTCTCCCTGCAACAAGGGTTTTCTCTTTTCTTTCTTGAATCGGTCCTATGAGGAACTTCCTGAGGCTGAAACTGCCATGTTCTCAGCATTTCCACTTTGGCCACTGTCACTGCAAATGAGCCCCATCCTCCTTAGAAAGACATTGTTTTCTTAAGACTTAAAAAAAAAATGACATGTCAGTTCCTTTGGGCGCCAGTAGTGATAAGAACGATTATCTTCTGGGCCCATACCATGTGCCAGGCCCTGAAATATCTCATTTAAGCCTCACAACAGCTCTGTGAAGTTGATGGTGTGAGGGATAATGGGGTCACAGTTCTCCTCATTTCCAGTGAACTGAGGCTTACAGAGATGAAGGGATTTTCCAGGTCAAGTGGCTCATGAGAAGCAAAGCCAGGACCCAGCCTGGGCAGGCCTGACCTGCAGCTCGTGGTTCTCACCAGCATACACGCTGCCATGTTTATTCCACTCACACCCACCCTATCCCCCAAAAGCCTGGTTTTTCTGAACTTGCTTATTCTAATGATTTCAGAAGTTTATCTCCCTTCATGGAATGTTCACCTATGGTGTATATCTTGTGACGTCTCAGACATTTGAAGCAAATGTTGGCAGAAAGACGTCATCAAACAAATTTCCTTTTAAAAATGTGGCTGTACCCATTATACAGAAACCACATGTAAAGACCTGTGCAAATTCTCCTGTGAAGGGAACGGGTTGTCTTTTTGATGGAAGTCAATGAGGAGAGCTCTTTCAATTTCCTTTTCAGTAAACTTTTTTTTTTTTCTGAAGAGGGCGTTTCTGCCACATACTCAAAAGGAGGGTGAATTTTGAGGTTGGGGCCAAAGGGCTAGAGGTGGCGTGTCAAAAGGTGTTCTGTGTTCCAGGCGCTCCTCATCCCACATCTAATCACTGGAAGTCTCAGCACCCTTTCCACGGAAGACTTACTAGTAACATGGTCTGCAAGCACTGTGAACACCAGGTACGTACAGTAGCGACACTTGGTATTTTCTGGCGAGGTTTCATGAAGACTGGTGTTTGGGGTTTGTGATTTTTCTGGGCTCTGTACGCTTAGTAGACTGACTGCCCTTCTTTGGTCAGCGCTGACGTTCCACTTGATCCGCAAATGGTATCTTTTGCAGCAAGAGCAGCAGACGGGGATTGGCAGGGTCTTGCATCCTAAGGTGGGGTCTGTACCCACGATGAATGCAGCAGATTCTAGGGCTGGTTTTTTTTTGTTTTTTTTCTAGTTTTGTTTTCTGTGCATGGTTCCCCCACCCCCACCCCCCACCTTGGCTTTTGAGATTTTTTTTTTATTTATTGATTTATAATCATTTTACAATGTTGTGTCAAATTCCAGTGTTCAGCACAATTTTTCAGTCATTCATGGACAGACTTTTTTAAAATAATTTTTTGTTATGGAAATTCTCTACCTTGATGCAAAAATAGAGGATTGTTCAACTGGCACCTCAGTCAGTTTTAGACTATTTTTCATCACCCTCCCCACCAAAAACTCAACTCTGTACCCATTAGCAGTCCGTCCCCATTTCCCCCACACTGTCAGCCCCTGGCAGCCGCTAATCTACTTTTTTTTTTAAATAGATTTTATTATTTTAGAGCAGTTTCAGGTTCACAGTAAAACTGAGCAGAAAATACAGAGTTCCCACATAGCCCTCCCCACCCACACATAGATACTCCCCTACCCTCAACATCCCTCATCAGTGTGGCATATTTGGTACAATCGATGAATCAACACGGGCACATTATTATCAACCAAAGTCCATAGTTTGCATTAGGGTTCACTCTTGATGTTGCACATACTATGGGTTTTGACAAATCCATAATGACATGTAGTCACAACTACAGTATCACACAGAATAATTATATTGCTTTAAAAATCCCTTGTGCGCCATCTATTCATCCCTCCCTCCCTCCCTCCCAAACTCCTGGAAACCACGATCTTTTTATTGTTTCTGTAGCTTTGCCTTTTTCAGAATGTCATTTGGTTGGAGTCGTACAGTTTGTAGCCTTTTCAGACTGGCTTCTTTCATTTAGTAATAATGTCTTTTAAGTTTCTTCTATGTCTTTCATGGCTTGATAGATCATTTTTTTGTAACTGTACATATATTTTTAAATTTACATATATGCACTGTTCATTGTTTCTAA